TTCCACCAATTTGGGAGGCAAGCCTTCCAGCCGCATCAGCGTATCAATCCAATCAGTTTCATGACAAACAAACTGCAGCATGAAGACAATGTGAAAACTGCACAGAATGATCACCATGCCTTCAGGTGCAGCAACTAGTTGAGGCGCCTGTAAAGATGAAACGTCATCGCAGAACAAAACAGTGCAGCAAGACTCGCTATTGCAGAACAAAACAATTGATTGAAAAGAAACAAATCAAAGCTGAACAATGGTTGTTAGCAGGGTTGTGACCTCCGACATGACAGTTGCAGGGGGTTGAAGGGATTTACAGTTTCATTATCAAATTATTTGCTATTTCAGATCCCAACTTCCCCAACTTCACCCACAAGCTTGCCAACCTCGGGCAGCTCCACCACAGCAGTCTTAGCCTCCCAGCAGTGTCAAAATCTGAAGCTGCCACAGTTGGCGTTCGGGTTGGACAAAACTTTTGAACATGTTTGAACAATATCCCAACAGGCCAAGAAGAATTTCCCGAACCTTCATTGTCTCGGCGTTCTCAGCCTCACAGGATGAAACCAAACGGGTCCAGTTTCATGGGAACTCATCGCTGGCAAAGTTCATCCGAATGGAACACATGCTGTGGATGAAAAGGGCTCGAAGTGGCGACGGCTATGGAGACCTCACCTCCACCTGCTGCACTTACAAATGGAATTAGCCGCCTCCAGTAGATGAATAACTGCGGTATTGCAAATTTTGTCCACAAAAGAAACGCATGTCGTTTCATCATTTCCCCAAACCAAGACGGAATGATTGCCTTCCTGCATGATGAAGGACAGATGCAGAAGCAGAGAAGAAAATCAGCAAATCCTTTGAATTCAATCGAACACATGTTGGCTCCCTTTGAACGCGAAAGCTTTCACTGTCAAACTTTCTCCATGTCGTCTTTGACCAATCCATGCCTTCAAGGTCTTCGGTTGGAATGAGGATGCTGAAGCTGAGAAGGCTGAGGAGGCCTGGCGCATCACCCTCACCAGAGACAAATGATCGTTCCAAAGATCCATCTGGATCATGATGAATCTAGACATAGGTCTTGAAAGTTTCTTTCGAAATTTGCAACACATCAAACTATCAAACTACCAATAGACAGTGCCATCAACGGAGATCATCTCAGACCTCCGGCTCTAGCTGCACTTCTGGCACTTCTGGCTGCGCAGCCTGAAGCCATCAATTGGGAACGCCCAAGAATTGATGGCAACTCACAGCAACATGCGTCAGCCTTGGAGAAGGCTTACGATACGCACTGCTTGTGGATTTTACATCCGAAATGATTGAACAGAGCAGCTGAAACCAGGTCGAAACAAAAAACTCTTCGGCCAAAAAACTCTTCCGCATCCCCTGACTTGGAAAAGAATCAAAGCACACATGCAATAGTCACTGCTCTGATGGAAAACTGAAGTCCAACTACACAACTATTGTACCGCAAGGGCTGACTAGCAGAGGGCGGTCTTCACATATCTGTGGAACCTACTCTTCCTCCAAGAAGTTTCAAGGCTTTTGAACTGAATATATTTGCATTTCAAATGGGTGCTTCAGGGAACAAAAGCCATGATCGTTCAGTTTCCAGTTAAGTTGGCACAAGCAAAAATGTTGGCCATGGGCGATTCAACTGTTGATTGCATCTTTTGCATCATTTCCAGAACTTTCCATTGAGCAGTTATTCCTGGCTCATCTTCATCAACCATGATATGCAATCCACCTCAATTCCAAATAGCACCATCCATCCCCGTTCTACGCCCCAACTCAATATACACACTATGCATTAGCGCAACATTTTGGGTAGAACCACGGCTAAACGTTGATCACCATTCCCCTGCCTTGGCTTTGGCTTCCAGGGCCGCTGCCGCATTGGCCGCAGCCTCTTCCACCCACACAAAGTCTGCAAAGACACCCCTTCCAGAAAAATCAAATAGTCCAACATCACATCAGAAAACTTTAAATGCTAATTGAGAATTTGGACCTGTGAATTCCTACAATTTGGAGCTGAAGTTGCCAGGGTAACCAGCCTCAGCCACCGCTGCCTTGGCCTGCCAGCTTCGGCAGCTTCGGTTTGCGAATCAAGGAATCAGAGGCTGAAAGGACCCCTGGATGATGGCAGATGATTGATGGTTCTGGATGGTTCTGGATGGTTCTGGTATGTCCGGTCCAGTGTATCCGATTATATCTATCTTTAGTTCAAGTCTAAGGCATTTCACTATCACCCGACCATCAAGGCTTGCACAATGTTGGCGAAGATCCCATCATGTTTCAACATCACCCTGGCTTCCGTCACTTCCACCTTCAATATATGATGGTATCCACTCACCCCAAGTAGACCCACTATGCACAACTTGTAAAGCGGTACCCCAATTGATTACCATTGAAATCGAATGGCTGCGCCTGAGAAAGTTGAGCTTGGATGATGGGTGCATTGTCTGCCACCACTTGTCTCGCACGCTGCACTTGTGCGCTCCAATCGGCCTTGGCTCGCAACCATTTGGGCCGCTTGGTGGAGGTTTGGGTGCCCGTTGGACTGTTTTCCTGACCTGGTTGCAACTGGAAACACCGACTTGGCATAATTTCCAGTTTTGGATGTATATAAATTGACAGTAAGATGGTCCTCACCTAGCTAACTAGTTCGGTCACTCTTGCGCAGTGCTTCATGAACCCTGGATTGATCATGGTGTTGAGACAGTGGTGTCCATTCTTCAATCTTGGCTGCTAACAACTGACAACTCGCACGGCTTTTGCGGTTGTATTGATGCCCTGCACTATTTCTATATTCAAAGGAGTATCTAGCTCAAAAAAACAAATGATCCGTGATCCTGTTGTAAAGATTTTCCAGACAATAGATTCAAGGTTCCAGGAATCATGGCAAGTTCACTCTTGTAAATGGTCCATTGGACACAAGGCCATCTAATAACATTCACCGGAGGAATATAGCGGCCTATGATCTTTGAACTTCAACTCGTAAAGCAGTGGGAATATTGATTTCCACAGCTTCTTTGGGGTTTCCCCGCAGGGCTACACCGAAGTAGTTTTTCCTTTTGGCTAAACTTTTTGCGCAGCGCATCCAGCTTCCCCCAGCTGCAAACCCTCGCAGGTCGGCCAAATAAGGGCAGGAATAGGTGTGATTCGGGTGAATTTCCATGGAAATGTGAGACAGGTGAAGCATGCTTTCACCTCTCTGAGGCTCATAACATGTCTGTAGAAATTGGATCTCCAAGCAGGATCAAGGATCATCTATCAAAGTTATCAAAGCATTTGGACTGTTCCTGTCCAGTCTGGCCGCTGCTGTCCCACAGAGTAGGTCATTGGATATATTTGTGGCATTGGCCCAGATGTTCCCAGCGTTGATGCATTTGTTTGCCGTGGAAGGGTAAAGGAATGAAAAGTGACCCAAAAACTGTCAGGGTAGCCACAGCACATGCCCTCAAAATGTGGTAAAATAAATTCAACAGAACATAGACTCTGATTTGTTGGTGTATTTGGGACTTTGAAACCACAACCAAATTCTGAAATTCACCACTAAACAACAAACAAACACACTTGCTTCGTTGGACAAGGATCTGATTTCTCAGCATGCGTGACATGAACCCAAGAGAACGTCATCTGGACCAATGCCTCTGCAAAAGGGCAGTGTTTCACCGGCCATCCTCGGCTTCCTACGGCTTAAGCTCAATGGGCCGAACCAAGCAGCATTCGCAGTGGAACTGCTCAAGAGCAGGCAGATTCCACGCTGAATTCTGGAAATCTCCAGTCGGTATTCAAATTTTCCTAGCTGCAGATGATGTGCTCCTTCCACATGAGGCAAACGTGAGAACTGGAAGCATTTCCAACTATCAATATCCATCAATGACCTTATCCCAGAATGTGAAATGATCCATGGCATGTTGTCATGTGTTGTCACCGTGGCCATCCCGTGTTCCGCAGCAGCCCCGCCGCCAGCTCATGCTCCTGTCGGCAAGCGATAGTCAAATTTTCATGGTTTAAGTCTTGGGATCTGCAAATGATCAGCTCATCCATAAGAACAACTGGGCAAATGTGGTGGTGCGATCTCTCCAATAATATTGGGGGCCATATGTTTGGAAGGGAGATTCAGAGATTTACAGCTGATATCATCTTAAGTACCCTACATATGCCCCATCCAAACTCTCACTTCCTCCATGGCGTGGTAAGCAATCCAGGTTCACACCTGGCCCGGAAAGCTGTGCCAGATTTTGATGATTTTGGGGATTGGACTGAAAAACCGGGAAATTGGCGAATTTCAGGGGACCACACTGACCACACAATTTCGCCATTCTTAGGACCAGGATCCAAGCTTGGGGCTGGCGTAGTTTCGAGATGTTTTGAGCCACAAGTGGCCACAGTTGCCCTTACAATGTCAAATGTCTTTCAAATGTGATGGCAACAATATGTAGGATTCAAAGTCGAGTTCACACTGGTTCCAATGAGTGGATTTGTTTTCAGGAGTGTGCCTCACTAAGATTAATCTTATGCTATTGTTGGGCCGATCAAACAAAAGCAGCTTGGCTGTCAGCACCTCGTAGCAAGGCCCGGTATAATGCGTTGGCCCGAGGTGCTCCTGACGTTGGTGCGCATCCCCATCAGTTGCCATGCCAGTGCGAGTTTCGATCATTGAAGTGAAAGGCGGGAAATGCCCCGAAATGCTGGATATCCAGCCATTTCCAAAGGTTACCAGGCTCTCCTGTCTTCAAAGCTTGGTCTTCGGCATCCACCTTGACAGCCTGACGTGCATCAAGTGCCGAGTGGTGGGCATCTCTCCCTTGCTGTGGGCTGTACTCACTTTATTTTTGCAACATAAAATATTGATGATAGTATGGGTGAAGGTTCACCGGCTAGTGCTTGGAATGTCAATTTAGCAGAGGTTCCTACATCTGGGTCAAGACCAAACAAATCTATCAAAACTGGGTAAACTGAAGGAACACCCAGGCCCATCTGTTCACATCATCAGCATCCTCAGTCTTTTCCACGAGCCGAAATGATCCCTGAGGGACCATGGCACACACGTCCTTCACGTAAAGAGGAGGTACCCCCCTACATGGTCAGGAGTTAGGTGGCTCATCCGTTCCCATCATTTTACAACTGAAGTGATGAATCCTTGGCCTTGGCCTTGACAATCTTTTCTCTGCACCCAAACTAGGCCTGAAGGGCCAGCGTCATCATTTTCGAGGATTGATTTCTTGGCCTCCTTCAGCATATTTCAACGTTGAACCCACAAAAATCGAGTCTGATGATGTCTTATGATGTCTGATGGGTCTGGAATCAAAGATTTTACAATCGAACACACAAGAATAGAATATTTTTCAGGGTTTCTACTAGTTTCTACTTCCACACAACGGATGGTTTCCATGATTATTTTCATTTCGGGTTCATAGCCAGTCATGGCATCCATTGCTCACCTGGATTCTGCATATCGGATTTCCTTAACAGCTGAGCCACTGAACGAGCACACGGCCGCAAAGCGAGATGAAGTTCATGTTGCCGCTGAGTCTTCACAGTTTGAAATGGGGCAAAGCCTCAAAACCGACCGAAATGGTACTTGAAAGGACATGCTTTGATTTGATGTAACATGATGTAACCAGCTTGAACGATGCTAGGTTGCAATTGCTTCCCAAAAACAAGTGAAGGTACAAATCTGATACGGCCATTCTACGGAGTTATATCTGGGAACTATAGTTCCTCACGAATCTTGACATCCCACAAATTATCTGGATTGTCAAAGGAATGTATGAATAAATCCAATGGTCTGTGTGTCATTTCCACATCAACCATCCTTCACTTAACCTGATCCTTACCGGATCCTGATTGGAAGGTGCATACCGTGCATACCATTGCCATTGGGCTATAGCCATCCCATACATCAATGGGATCAACTTCACTCGCCGGCCGCTTGGTAGAAAATCATGCCCCGCTGGCCGCTAGCCGGACGAACGGGACCGAACGGGACAGCGGACGAAAGTGGCGATGGTTTAGAATCCATTGAATCGCCACGGGTTGTTGGAAATGCTGCCTTGATTTCTGTGAGGTTCTAAAAGATGCGGATAAACAGCGGTTGTAAATCAACCTCTGGAGTGATCTGGGCCCACCAGTACAAAACGATCTGACCCATGAAGTGTCAATTTTGTCAACGTGTTTTGGCCTCCAATGGTTGTAGGTATTTTACGAAGGATTTCCTTGAGTAGAATTTGCAAAGCATCCTTCAAGTCCACAAAATATAGATCCCCTGCAGCAATGTCATCAGACCCCTCACATAATATTTCTGCATCTTTCAAACTTGGCTGAGTTATTGACCAATTCTGTTTGGTTTCTGAACAAAAACAGTTGTTCCACCAAGACGAAAACAGCCACGCAGCGAAGGTTCCAACCCCCCAAGCTACGCCTCAAGAGATTTGCCAGCTCGACCCGGGCGAGTCGATGAGGAATCCGCTGGCATAAGATGCGAGTTGAATGGACATCATCGGGTGATTTTTGTCGGTTCTGGTGGGGCTATACACTAGACAAGACTGGTTAAGTAGGAAAATCATTCTAGGCAAAGATGGGAAAAATATACATCCAACAAAAATCTATCGAAGAGTGCTGGAGTTGCGCTTGTTTCTGTTATTGTTATGGCTTAGTAATCATGTCGCTGAACTGTTTCAGTTTCTTGCATTCTTCGTTGTCATCATGGTTCAATGTTGGCTCCGTGGTAGCAACCTGGATGACGCCATCCTCCTCAGGTGAATTCGATTGCTGAGGGAGCTACAAATTCGGCTTCCCCCGGAGCAATGGGAGACGAGTCTTACCTGAAGCTGCAAAGGGCACATGGGTGTTTTGAACCGTTGCTGCGACAAATTTTCTCTTAGAACAGCAAAATTCCTCTGTGACAAAATTCGTCGTTGAATCTAGGTGGGAGGGAAGCCATGAATCCAAGGAAACATGAAATCCGTGCAGTGATTTTCTCGATATTTCCTGGCAAATTGATCAACTTCCTGCAATTCCAGTAGCCCAGTAGCCCAATACCTTTCCTGGTGATTTCTATTTGGCACCATCTGTCCCTTCCCCTGCAGCAAAAGTTGCACGGTGGACAATGGTGCATCAAGATGCATCACCTGAGGCAAAAATCCATGAACCAACTGAAACAATGCTGGATGCAAATACAAACTGAAAAGATGGCACAGGAACACGCCTGTGTTCACTACATCGTTTTCGAAGCCAGGCTCTTGGGGGCCGTGGGTAGTGAAGTCTTGTTGCAAAGATTTAAAGGTGCCCAACTTAAACCATGTATAGACTGTTCTGACACCTCAGCTTCCAATTAAGAAACTTTTCAGCAATGATCTCTTTTCCAACAGATTCTACGAAAAGTCCTGACATAAGACCATTCTGGGAGTTCATTCAGCAACCCCGAATTAGACGCACAAAGTAATCCGAATCCAGAATGTTGGAACTTTTTAGTGCTGAACTTAAATTTGTCATGGTGAGTGATCAACATATATAGTCAAATTTTGGGCTGACCGGCCTTTGCCAGAAGACAAGGACACGTGGTACCCAACGCTTCTTCAAGCACAAACGATCTCACTTTGGCTCAAAGCTCAAAACAGCTACATCCCCCCTCGTAGATTCCAAATCCTTCCAAAAATCAGCAAAAGTCACTCCCCTCTAAAGAAATCAAACCACAACTTCGGCCAGCAATAAACCGTACCTCCATCCCCCCATCCGCCCACTACAAGCTAAATGAAAATCCTATTTAGGTTATATCTCCATAGATCTCCCACCAATCCATCATACCCCCATTATTACATATTATTACTGGATATATAATATCACTCTTATATCATTCCAGGAAATCCCCAGGTAATCCCCATTGTTGATGCTTAACCCCCTGAATGATCCATCTGCTGCCGTGCGGCGTAATCCTCGTGCTCGCGAATCTGTCGGCTCCGACGGAGGAAGGCGAATGTGGCACCCACTGCAACGAAGGCAGCGAGGAACCTGGAGGTCCCGGTAGGTGAAAATCGCCACGCTGAGTATGGTGAGTTTTCACCCTTAGTTTTTTTTTGGAAACTAAATTAACCCCTGTATATTACATGTGTATGGATGGATGGGTGCATGAAGAATATGGGTTCTCAAAATGGTATAATTGATTCATTGATTGTTGGGAATATACTCCATTAAGAGAGCTAAAACCACCACGTACAACTAAACTATGATATTCTGATATGAGTGTGGCACCTATGGGTCAAAGTCTGCGCTTGGTGATTTGGAGGTTAACTGCTGAATCTGTGCATTTTTTGTTGCCTACCAAGTCAGATTGAGGACTATTCATTGATGAATTGTAGCAACTGACTCATGGTGTTTCCAACCAACTTGAAGTCATCGAGATTCCAAACGAGGTCATCATTGCAGGCTGCTAACGGCCATGGGCCTTATGTACCAAATTTCTACAGAGTTTTCCAAAACGAAATGAGGTTCTGTACAGAAGCTGCCAACCAAACATGTGTCACCCATGGGCCAACGGTTTACATTAGTCAAGGTAGGTCTCACCTCCAAAAACAGAACCAGCGTAGCCAAGCAACACTGCGGGCACGGCGAATGCGCTGGAGCGTTGTTCCTTGGCAGGACACACTAGGCTCTGATCTGCAAAGAACAGTATTAATTATTAACGATTGGTATGACAATTCGTACATGGGGTACATCCAAGCTCCACAAATAAATCATCAAACTCACAAAGACTTTCACTCCTAAGAATTCCATCATCATCATCATCATCATCATCCAGCTTTTTGATTTGTTTTGTCTTTTCTTGTTGGTCTTTTTACATATTTGTCAGATTTGTCGAACCCGACATTCGACCATTCCCACGGCCATCCCGGCAGCTCCGGCACCGAGGGTCGATCAGCACCTCCGGCTTCGCATCGGTCTTGGAGGTCTTGGCTTCAGCCTGCTTGGCTTCTGCGGCTTCCTCAGCAGCCTGCGGTGTGCCACAGGGGATTTAGAGAATTACATTGACTCACATTGACTCCTTTAAACATGATCAAGACATGAGGGATTTGGTTTCACCTTTGCAAAATGGAGATTTCATTTGAGGCGGCAAAAAATGATGACAGGCTGTGAAGGTTTAATCATCAACAAAGCAGAAGCTTTAACTGAACAATCGCCGGGCATTCATCATCTGAAGTAAGATGAATCAAATGGATACAGCAACCTACAACGGGATACCGGGATACCATGGAACCAAATGGCTGGTCAATTTTTAGCATCTGAAAGTAAATGATGTGAAACCAGATGATGTGGTATCCACATTGCATACTGGGACTGGGAGATATTGTTTGTACCAACCACTCAGCAAGAACGCTCAAACGATATATAGGAAGTAAAATAACCAACGATGAATGGGGACATCTGGCAAACACAGAAGTATTAAAAACGAGATATCTCTATCTTTAATAGTGGCAACCACCAAAAACACGTCTAGGAATTGCAGAGTCATAAAGAGTGATCATTTTGGATCTGTGGGGCAAGATATTAATCAATGTCTGTCTTAAATCTGATGTGGTTTAGGTCAGACATGTGGTGGGGACTTGGTAGAAGTTCCACACCAATGCCCCTGCCAACAGCCACAACAAAAAGTGTGGGTCAGGTACTTTACAACTTTGCTGAGGCCGTGTTGTAGCCCCAAAACAGCGCACACTCTGTCAGAATCATGAGAAAGGTCAAATTTGGCTTTCAACAAAAACAGCATACAACATCATGTCGCACCTTTTGATTGGAAAACCTAAAGCAATCACCCAATACACCATCAGAAAAATGTAGCAAATTTCAACTCCAGAAATGCCACTAACCTCTAGGCCCATCGGGTTCCCATCAGGTTCCCATTGGTCGCCTCACGCTTCAACTCCTCCGCAAGGTGTTCCTTCTCCTTCTCGCGCAACTCCTGGTGCAGCCACGCAGCAAGGCAAATGGGCGAAGCTTCACTAAGTGTTTGCCATAAAAAGGTTTTTGATCATCCAGAAAATCCTTGACTTTATTACGGCGCAATTACGGGTGCAATTGGATTTGCCGGTTCAAACAGATCCTTGACCGTCTTGAGATGTTACTCATGATGATATGATATGCCTACACTCGGTGATCACTGGTGGGATCCTCTATGTTCCTTATTTCATTTTGGGTGGGTAGGTGCTATTTAATCAACAAAAAGGGATGATCGTAACTCAAACATGCACAAAAAGGAAACACTGGAACCCAATACGTGGAACCGTGCAGCCGGTGGACACTTGGACCCTCAACACATCCAGTAAAAAATGTGCATCAGGCACGAGAAGAATACAAGCATCTGACTGCATCAGCTGAGTCTTTTTGAGGGTCTCAGAACATCGCAATCTGCACAGCATGGTAACAGCTCAGTCCTTCTCGTACTTCATCTCATCATCGAGTCTCCTTGGTGTGCAAGTGGTGTGGTGGAATGAGTCAAAGTGGACATTGTCCATTTTACTGATCCTTTGTGGAACACTTTGTGGAACGTGGAACCAGCATGAACCAAAACTTCTTGGCGCAGCCGGGCGCAGCCTCCGTTGCGAGGCGAGGTGCTGTTGCTCTTGCTTCAGCTCTGCGGACAGAGCGTCGTGTTCCTTTTGGCTCTCCTGGGCAGGTGGATCTGGGATTCTCATGGATTCTCCGGATCCAAAATCCAAAAATCATTCTCATATTGATTTCAAATTGCCTCTAAAAGAATGAAAGTGAAGCCACGCAAAGAAAAAAAACCAGAGATTCAAGATTTCAACCTCAAGAAAACATCTCAAAGGGATGTGGGGACAATGATAGGAACATATTTGGGTCTGAAAATGGAGCCCCCAAATCCAGTGGTAATTTCATCGTTTTCCCCTTAACATGGCAACTTTTGGGTTTTTATACCTGAAGTCCAAAGGATCCCAACTGCAGACATGTTCTGCCAGCAAGGAGCATCTTCCACGGGAGTGGCCACGAGCATTGCTGCCTGATGGTTTGTTTCACCCAATGGAAAAGTTGGAACAACCAGCGGCAAAGGTAAACTTTTCCAATCTGGGTACACTGGGTTTGGGTCAAAATTACTGGGGCTTTGTCTGGGCCCGCAATCTAGTGACAATTTTTAGCTAAAACAAGGTGGGCCAGAGAACCCAAAAGCAAGACGGCGCACAGCACGCCTTTTCTTGAAAATCTTGGGGTGTGGCCAGCTGTGCTCTGCACGAAA